CAGCTTTAAAAGCACTGATCAGATGCTTATAAATGATCCATCAGGTAGAGAGAGCATGTAAATAAACTGAAAAAAGCTTTCTAAAGGCATGTCCAAGGCTGATGGCCACATTAAACAAAATTACAAAATTAACTGGTGTTCTATTACATTTTTCATTCCCACCGTTAATGTCCTGTTCTACTTTCCCACCCCAAATACATATAAATAAATCTCATTAATCTTTGCATTAGTTAACGAGTGGCTACTTAATAACAGAAATGTGAGTTAATGCTACCAGTGGCATTTGCATCTGAATGTAAATTACTTGAATACTAAATAAACTTTCCATCAGCCTCAACGGCAGGACTTCTCAACCTTGGCTGCACATTAGAATTACCTAGGGAGTTTTTAAAAATCTGATGCCCAGGCCACACTCTTGACAAATTAAATCAGAACTTCTGGGGGGCGGGCCAATCATCAGAATTGTTCAAAGTTCTCCAGGTGATTCCAGTGTACAACCAAAGTTAAGAACCACTGGTTTTAGGTAAAGCATTTGAAAAAATAAAATTTCGAACTAGTGAAGGAGATTTTTTTTTAATGGGGATTTATCATGTTGTTCTATGGAAGTTGCCAACTGGTGGAAAGGCTCTGTTCAACGTAAAGGACCATCTTTATTAAGAGAGAATTCTACATTTAAAAAATCACTAGACAATTTCTAAGTCTTGATTTCAGGAAGTTACTTCACTTGGGTTTTATCTACAAAATAGGAATGATAATAGCAATGCCTAGGCTTATGGTGCTGTTGATGATGATCAAATGTAACAGGGTAGCAGAAAATGTTTTATAAACTACAACATTTTATTTATTATTACATAGCTGAGCAGAACCATTTATCATTAAAAAGACTAGCTGTAATGTAGATTACAACTGCAATATGGATTATTACCTAAATGATTTGCCACTTTGTTTTAATAGGCATTTACTTTATGAAATCTAAGTGTCTAGCCCAGTGTTTCTCACTAAGTATGGTTCCTGAGCCACTAGCAACAGCATCACCTGGACACATTTCAGAAGTGCAAATTTTTGGGGTCTATCCCACACCTACTGAATCCGAAATTGGAGGCAGAACCTAGCAATCTTATTTGAATAAGACATCCAGGTAATTCTGATGTTAAAATCTGAGGACCATACATCTAACCAAAGCGAGTAAAAAGTGAGTATGTATGACTAATATCAAACGGAAAAATACATAATATTTGTTATTTGAAACTTTAAATGTTGCAGTGCAAAGACACAGTGGCCTAAATTACTACTTTAAAAAAATTCCTAAAGCTTTGTATTCAAAAATAATATAATTCTCTTTACCCAGCTGAGCTTTATCAGTTAACACATTAATCATGAATACAATGGTAGTATATAAATTTGGGAATCAGATAAATCACAGAGCATATAACACTCTGGATAAGGAATAAAGAAACAAAACTCTAGTAGGAGTTAACAGTAGTTCAGAAAAGAGTCAAATTTTAATTCACTGGGCCTGAGCATCTCTCAGAGGAAGAATCACAACTGTATCTTAAAATCACATTTATCCTGAAGACAACACCCCACAGCATCTCAATGTTCTTATTCAGGCTAAGGAAGTGTTTCAGCACTTACTCAGAGAAAACCATTACTTAGACTGAATCACCAGCAATATTTCCTGCAGCATGAGATTTGTCATTGGGTCTGCTAAGCAACAGAAAAACAATCTCAAAACTTCTTATCTTAAAAGATATCATAAGAGAAAGCTATCAACATTGCTCCCAAATTCAGTTTGTTATTTGCCACTAATAAAACATATGCAGGAGAGTAATAGGTGAGATCACTGAATAGTCTTGTGAGATTGCAACAGAAAGTTCTTTCTTGTTTTCTCTTTTTCCATTTAAAAAAATTTTGGTGTCCTCAAGACACCTAGCATCACCCTGGAAAGATGAGAGTGAAATATCCCAATTAAGAACTGACTTTATCCCTTGGGGCACCTGGGTGGCTCAGTAGTTAAGCATCTGCCTCGGGCTTGGGTCATGATCCCCGAGTCCTGGGATCGAGCCCCATGTGTCGGACTCCCTGCTCAGCGGGAAGCCTGCTTCTCCCTCTCCCACTCCCCTTGCTTGTGTTCCCACTCCTGCTGTCTCTCTCTCTCTGTCAAATAAATAAATAAAATCTTAAAAAAAAAAAAAAAGAACTGACTTTATCCCAATTAAAAACTGTCCCATCTCCCAAGAAAATTAACAATTCTCAACCCTTATTTCCTACACTGGAAAAAGCTAGCACAAGTAAATAATTGCCAAAATAATTGATTCCTTTTGCTCATCCACTCATCTCTAAATATTTATTGAGTACCTAGTATATTCCAGATATTGTTCTAGGTGCAAAGTGAATCTAGAGAGGATGCACAGACGTCAGTGAGGAGGGCATAGATTCTATGTCTCCAGGTTTCAGTTTCTCTCTGTCAACCAAATCATTAGTACTCAAACTTGAGCGAGCATCACAATCACCTGGAGAGCTATTTAAAACAGACTGTTGAGGCCCACCCAGAGTTTCTATTCAGTAGATCTGAGAGGGGGCCCCCAAAGTAGCATTTCTAATAAATTCTCAGGTGATGCTGATGCTGCTGGTACAGTGGCCGCACTTTGAGAACCACTTACCAAGCCAGCCAAATGGCAGCTCTTCACACTATCCCAGCCGACTTCCAAGCACTGTACATCTCTCTTCCAAAGAAGGCAATGGCCTCAAGACTGCCTCATGCCTGCTGTCATAATCACACACAACTGAGCAGGATTCCAGTTTCAAGAACTGCCTCAAATATCTACGATCAGTAGGCTCCAGAACAGAAGGAAAAAGTACAAGTAACAGAGAAAATTCTCCTTCCAAGGGATTTTCTCCCTCCTTGTTCTTCTTTTTGTTTTATCCCCTACCACAGGAAATCATTTTTGTATTATGATTTCCCAACGCGAGTGTTATAGAAAAGAATAACACTCCTTTAGACTTTTCATATATCTTTAATATAATCACAGCTTTTCTTCTAAATTCAGTTCTCAGGGCCTAACACCACCCTATTTGTCGGACTATCTCCTTTTTGAACAAAAGAATCATAGGGTTAGAAGGAACACTGAGAATTCACTTAATCCCTCCTTGGCCTCAGACAAGACTGTGTCTAAACCATCCCCAAATATAGCAATTTTCAGTACAAAGACGAACAGGCACTAAGAATTTCTCATTCAACATTCTGTCACAGACTTGAAGATACTAATATACTTTCCCTCAGCCTTCTCTTCTCCAAGCTAATCATCCTCAACATTTAGACTTTCCTCATTAGATTTCCTAAACTTTATTTTGACTCTTCCTTAATAACTTTATCCTACCTTATACTTCAGGGCCTGAATTATATATGTACAGTTATCATGAAGACTTTTTTGGTTTTTTTTGGTATGTGAAAGGGATAAGTTAATTTATAGCTTGAACAAAAATGAATTTATTGGAACAAAGAAAGATAAATGTATAAATGCCACTAAAATGTAATACGGTGGCATTCACTTGAACAATTAATTTCAAATATCCTTTATTTTATTAAAATATATAGTAATGCCTTACAGTTTTTAAAACTTTACATTATAAATCACTAGCCATGTCACACATAAAACGGATAGGAATTAGAGATCTTTTAAAATATGTCACAAGTTATATATAACCATGTTTCATGACACCTCACACAGGAGAAGACATTATTATTATTATTAATTTGCTCTTTTGATGTTTTATATTGTGTTTACTACTAAAGTTGAAGTTATAGCTAATCAATGATTTATTTCTGAATGAGTCTAAAAATACTGAATATATTATATAATAATCATTTCTGTGAAAATAATTCCTCCTCAAGGAGGAGCCTCAAGAATCAGAGGTGTTTAGAAATTCAATGAGTGCAGGACAAGATAGGGTAAAGGTCTTGTCCAATCATGTGTTTCTGAGCAGTTTAGAAAGGGAAAATAGGCAATATATTGGAAATGGAGTAAAATGGGATGATTCACTTTATTTCTATTTCTCCCGTTCTAAATATCACTATTCAAAATCAATCTTTGCTTTGGAATGGTGAGGTCCTCTAGCCCAGCCTAGGCCTGGGGGATAGGGTTGCTTCCTTGCCTATTGGGACCAAGGTGTACGGTGGAGGCGATGCATTTAGTCTCCAGAGAGAAGGAAGATGCTGCTTGCACAGCACTTCTACTCACCAGTCCATGCAGCAGCAAGGGTGTTGGCTTTGAAGGAAGCCAACTGTCCTGCTCTCCCAGCCAGAGGTAAAGAATTGCATTGGTGGCCACTAGAGGGAGGAGGATTAGGAATAGAGTAAATTGTGGGGAAAAGGCACCCATGAAAAACGCACATGGGACAACCAACACATCACCAACCACCGCCTAGCAGCTACCTCTCTGAGGGACTATAACGGGGTCAGCATACACCATTAACCCGGAGACCCAGACACCAGGAATTATCGTAGTATCCCAGCATATAGCCCCTTAACTGTGATGGCTGGAGAAGGGAGTTTGAATAGGTTTATGGGAAACACACAAGCACACAAACACAAACACGCAAGCACACAGACATACATTCTCATCCCCCATTACAAGAAGTTGCATCTGTGCCGTCTGATTCTTGCTCATTTTCTGATTTAAAACTCTTGATGTTCTTTACCAAGAATGTGTTCACGAAAAGCAAACAGCCCACCTTCAAGATAGTCTTGGGAGAAGCACCAGCAGAGACACTCATTGTGCCAAGATGTATTTTACCAACAAATCTGTACAAATTACATGAGGTTAAAAACAAACGGAATATAATATAATTAAAGCAAAGTTTCTTTTGCTAAATTACAGCTTGAAGCAAACCTGCAAGAAATGTTTCCAATTAGCTTCTTTAGCAAACACAAAGCATAGCTCAGAATATGTTTTGCTTTCCATCTGCCCTCTGGGTGGGCTGCCTAGTGGGTGTCTTACCTCCAGCACAAGTAGCTGAGCATTCTGACCAAGGCTGATGATTCCACGTAAAGCCAACTTCATTGTCTCCACTGCCAGTCCGAGTGATGGGAACGTTGAATTTATACCTAATTCCCAAATTCTGTTCCTGAAGCAGAACCTGCCATTGAAAACAACTGGTGAAGATAATTAAAATACAATGAGGCTTCATTCAGATACTTATTATTTCTTTTGAAGAAGAAATGTCATAAAGTAAGTCTTACAGGAAATTGGAGATAACTTGTAGAACACATGCACTTACATTGAATTTTCTCCTTCCATTTTCATGGGTAATTTAGAACCATTTCTCTCAAATGCCTTGTTTGGTTACAAAAATATTATTTGAGCAGGCATTGAAAAGATCAAGCCATATAGAAGGAGCAATATGGCCTTAACCTTACACAAATTTGATACCCTTGGGTAAACCATTTTATGTTCATTAACCTTGATTTCACCACCTGTAAAAGAGAGATAATCAAGCCTGCCCCTCTGTACCTCACAGGACAGATTACAAATGGTAGAAGTTAAGTGGCAAAGACACATTTACCATGACAATGAGATTTTCCGAGGTGGGACCTAGAGCTTCCAAAGATTCTGGTTCATCAGTTGGTCTCTTGTAGTGAAAAGCTGTCCCAGCAACATCAAACTTCCGAGGCCAGTCAATAGTCCAGGCACCATTAATATAGTAATCATCCCCTTCAGATTTCAAAGCTAAAAAAAAAAAATCACAGTCTACCTAAAAATGTGAAACTTTATTTACCACAATGACACTAACCACAGTGGCATATACAATGAACATCCATTCCATTTTCACTTAGAGATGGGATTCTTGACCATTTGCTTAAATACAAATTAACACGGTAATTTTCCATGTGAATGTGGAGAGAGATCTTTATTAAGAGAGAATTCTACATTTAAAAAATCACTTTTATTTTAGATATTAATTATTTATAATGACATTAATAAAAAGAAATGAAAATTTTACCTGGAGGAATAAACACATGGAACTAGCAAGGGAAATTATAACAAAAGCAATAATTGGGGATGAGAGTGAGAGTAGGGAGCAGACTTTCTTGCCTAAAACTTAAAACGATAATTATATGAATATGAGGTGAAGCGAACTTGTGGTACTGGCACACAGACAGACAGAACAATGGAGCCAAACAGTTAAGAAATAAACCCAAGGCACCTAGTTGACACAGTCGGTTAAGCGTCTGACCTTTGCTTTCAGCTCAGGTCACGATCTCAGGGTCTTGACATTGAGTCCTGCATAGGGCTCCATGCTCAGCGTACAGTCTGTTTGAGATTCTCTCTCTCTCTCCCTCTGTCCCTCCCCCTGTATGCTCTCTCTCTCAAAATAAATAAATATATAAAATCTTTAAAAAAATTATTAAATTCTATGTTATATGAATTTCACCTCAATAAAAACAAAATTAAAAAAGAGAGAAAGAATAAATGCCAGGTGGATAAATATTTAAATGTATACATAGTTAAATAATAAAATGCTAGAAAGAAAATGTGGAAGAACTTAAAAAAATAATATTAGGGTATGAAAAGGTTTTCTAAGCATGACAAAGAAACCTCAGAAACGATAAAGAATAAGTTTAATAAAAATGCATGCATAAGTTTTTAAACCTCTGTAGGAAAATAAGGTATTAAAAAGTTTTAAAAAGGGTTATTAGCACTACTATACAAAAACTCCCATAAATAAATAAGATGATGATAATTTTGATAATGATGATCAGGATTTGACAATAATTTTGATAATGATGATCAGGATTTGACAATGACAAACATGTTAGCATAATTTTTTTGTTAGCATGCTAGCTTCTTCAGAACCTTTATCACTGGGGCACCTGGGTGGCTCATTTGGCTAAGCATCCAACTCTTGATTTCAGCTCAGGTCATGACCTCAGGGTTGTGAGATCAAGCCCCACATAGGGCTCCATGCTGAGCAGAGAGTCTTCTCTCTCTCTCCCTCTCTCTAAAGTAAATACATTTCTGGGCGCCTGGGTGGCGCAGTTGTTAAGTGTCTGCCTTCGGCTCAGGTCATGATCCCAGGGTCCTGGGATCGAGTCCCGCATCGGGCTCTCTGCTCGGCAGGAAGCTTGCCTCTCCCTCTCCCACTCCCCCTGCTTGTTTTCCTGCTCTCATTATCTCTCTCTGTCAAATAAATAAATAAAATCTTTAAAAAATAATAATAAAATAAAGTAAATACATTTTTTAAAAAATCTTTAAAAACCACACACAAAATTTTATCAGGCCAGATGAACAAGCAAAATAAAAACAACCCTCCCCCACCCACCACCAACAGCTTTGAATTCTCCTTCAATTTTAGCTCTCACTTTCCATTTTCTCAACTACTTAATGAATGGATCCTAACTGGCTTTTGCTGGTACTATAATAAATTCAGAAAAACCCAAAGTATTTAAAAAGGAATGAATAAGGGAGGAAGATGTGGCTTTATGGACAGAGCATTACCAAGGGGAAAAATCTGATGTTAGGATTCTTATTTTTTAGTCTTTTGATGTGGAAAAGAATCCAAAATTATGGCGCAAAAATAAAGAGTTGGGTTTTTTTTTTTTTTAAGATTTACTCATTTATTTTAGAAAGAGAGAGAGAGAGAAAGAGAATGGGGGTAGGAGCAGAGGGAGAGAACCCCCAAGCAGACTCTCCACTCAGCATGGCACCCCACACAGGGCTTGATCCCATGAGCTATGAAATCATGACCTGAGCTGAAACCAAGAGTTGGACACCCAACTGACTGAGCCACCCAGGTGCCCCAATAAAGAGGTTTTCTTAAATAAAGGAAAGAAGAGCCTGATAATACTAGTGTTCTATCTAAAGAAGCATTCTAGATGTGGTCTTATTTTAAAAAAGATTTAAGTCAAGGGGATATTTCCAAGGGAATAGGAACCCATCCAGGTCTCGCTAGGAGTTTCTGAAGAGTCTAAATCTGTCTTAAAGGATCAAACATCAAATAAATAGAATTTCCACTTCTTTCCATGTTGAGATAACTGGTACTGGACTTGCCCTCCAACTGTAAACAACTGGAAAGCTCACAAAACTTTTGAATCAGCTGTTCTTAAACATTGCCCAGAACTGTGATACCTGGAATAAGACAGACAAGGTGAGTGGTAGAGGCATTTTCTGTCAGTGTGAAAGTGGAAGAACCCAAGCAAAGCATGGTTGTCTCACTGAGAGAGAGATCAGAAATTGAGAAGGCCAAAATAGATGGAATTTGTAGGACCAGAGATCCAGAGTAGAAAGAGGGAATCTGTTGCTGAATAACAATATATATATGCATAGGATAAAATTCCATAAAGCCAGGCAAAAAAAAAAAAGCAAACAAAAACACTACCAGGGAACAATAAGCTGAAAAATGGCCAGAGCAAGAATTCAGAGTTTCAACCACTAAGACATTCAGTAGAGACCCAAAAAGAATCATGCCTTTTTAGCAGGGTTGAGTAGACTCAAGAGTAAGGGCTACTCTGCACTTACCCAAACAAAGCTCAAAAACAAGTCTCAAAAGATCAAGCTCATCTACAAGTTACTTAACACTCTTTAAAAGAAGAAAACAAAATCCAGACTCAAAAAAAAAGAAAAATTCACAATGTACAACATCAAATAAAAAACTACCACAAATGGAAAGAAACAGGAAAATCTGACCCAAACCAAGAAAAAGACCAAGTAAAAGAAATAGACCCAAAAATGACAGAAATTATGGAATTAGCAAAAAAATATCTTTCAAACAGCTATTATAATATACCCCAGGAATGTAAAGAAAAACAAATATAGTGACAAGAAATTAGGAGATATACATATATATATGGAAGTTCAGAACTATACAAAGGATATATGACAGATAAGTAAATAAGTAAGTAAACAGAAAATAATTTTATTTATTTTTAAATTTTTATAAAATATAATTGACTTTTTAAAACTAAAACAATAACAATGTATTAGGCAGTTTATAACATACAGAGAAATAAAGTGCATTTAAAAAATAGGACAAAGGATGGAAGGAGACAATGGAAATAAACTATTGTAAGGGCCTTGTATTATACAAAAATGGTATAATATTATTTGAAGGTGTACTCTGACAAATTAAAGAAGAATTTTGTAAATGCTAGCACAACCACTAAATAAAATAGAGTATAACTAATAAATAATTAGTACAGATCAAATGAAATACTATAAAACACTTGCTTAATCTAAAAGACAAAAAAAGAAAGATAAAAGGGATAAAAAAATAAAATAGAAAAATAGCAAGATGGTAGACTTAAATTGAAAGATACTAATAATTACATTAAATATAAATGATCCAGACAAGAGGTTGTCAAACTATGGCCACTAACTGTTTTATAAATAAAGTCTTACTGGAATATACTCATTCATTAATGTATTATCTATGTCAGCTTTCACACTACAATAGCAGAAGTGAATAGCTGAGACAGACAGACTGCATGTCTTGTAAAGCTGAAAATATTTACTATGTGGCCCTTTACAGAAAGTTGGTCAACCACCCTGCCCCCCATCTGGTGTTTGCAATTAAAAAAGCAAAGATTGTTACACACAATAAAAAATAAAAATCAACCATAGGTGGTCTACAAGAAACATTTTATTTTTTTTATTTTTTTAAGATTTTATTTATTTATTTGACAGAGAGAGAAACAGCAAGAGATCCCCACAAGCAGGGGGAGTGGGAGAGGGAGAAGCAGGCTTCCCGCCGAGCAGGGAGCCCGATGTGGGGCTTGACCCAGGACCCTGGGATCATGACCTGAGCTGAAGGCAGATGTTTAATGACTGAGCCACCCAGGTGCCCTCTACAAGAAACACGTACATGTGAAAAGTGTATGGGTGGAAAAAGATTTGCCATGCAAAAACTAATCTGGGAGAAATCTGGTGACTAGGTTACAATCAGACAAAATAGACTTTGGGTCAAAGATTATTATCAGGGATAAAGAGGAATATTTGATAATAATAAAATGTTCAATATATCAGGAAGATATAACAATCTTTTCTTTTTTTGAGAGAGAGAGAGAGAGCATGCAGAGGGGGAAGGGCAGAGGGAAAGAGAGAATCGTAAGCTAGCTCCATGTCCAGTGCAGAGCCTGACGCAAGACTTTATCTCACGACCCTGAGATCATGACCTGAGCCGAAATCAAGAGTCAGATGCTCAACTGAATGAGCCATCCAGGAACCCCAAGAAGATATAGCAATCTTAAATGTCTATACACTTAGTAATAATGTTGCAAAATAAATGAAGCAAAACCTTACAAATTAATGGGAGAAATAAGCACATTCACAATTCTAGTTGGAGATTTCAACATGATTCTATAACTGCTTAAACAAGAAGGCAGAAAATAAGTAAGACTATAGAAGACTTCAACAAAACTATTGACTGGTTTAATCTAATTGACATTTATGGAATGGTAAACCCCATAAAACCAGAATATACATTCTTTTCAAGTGCACACTGAATATCACTAAGATAGACCATATGGTGGACCATAAAACAAATCTCAATAAAAGAATGAAAATCATACAAAGTATGTTTTCTCTTCATAAAACAATTAAAGTAGAAATCGATAATAAAAAAGATCTGGGAAATCCCCAAATATTCAGAAATTAAAAATACCTCCTAAGCCATGAGTCACAATGTAATAAGAAGATATTATTTGGTAATGAATATACAATGTATCAAAATATATGGGATGACGTTAAAGCAGTGCTTAGTGGGAAATTTACAGTGTGAAATGCTTAAAGTAGAAAAAATTCTTTAAATCAATAATCTATCTTGAGAAGCTAAAAACTAACAAACATAATGTGAATAGGAAAAAAAGGGAAACAATAAAGAGAACAGTGGGAATCAGTGTAATGAAAAATGGAGAAATAACAGAAAAAATAATTTAAACCAACAGCTTGTTCTTTGAAAAGATCAGTAAAATTAACAAATGCCTCACTAGCATGATCAAGAAAAAGAAGCACAGGGATAAAAATCATATTATCATTGCAATAAATGCAGAAAAAGCATTTGACAAAATTCAACATTTGTTGATGATAAAAACTCTCAACAAAGTGGGTTTAGAGGGAACATACCTCAATATAATAAAGTCCATATATGAAAATGATAAAAAACTAAGAGCTTTCCCTATAAGATCAGGAACAAGACAAAGATATCCACTCTCACCATTTTTATTCAACAGTACTGAAAATCCTAGCCACAGTGATCAGACAAGAAAAAAAGAATAAGAGGCATCCAAATTGGTAAGGCAGATGACATGATAGTATACATAGAAAACCCACAGACTCCACCAAAAACCTATCAGAAGTAATAAAGGAATTCAGTAAAGTTGCAGAATACAGAATACCCAGAAATTGGCAGTGTGTCTATACAGTAATAATGAAGTAGCAGAAAGAGAAATTAAGAAAACAATCCCAGGGATGCCTGGGTGGCTCAGTCGGTTAAGCGTCTGCCTTCTGCTCAGGTCATGATCCCAGGATCCTGGGACAGAGTCCTGCATTGTGCTCCCTGCTCAGTGGGGAGCCTGCATCTCCCTCTGCCTGCCTGCCTCTCTCTCTGACAAATAAAGAAATAAAATCTTAAAAAAAAAAAAAGGAAAACAATCCCAGTTACAACTCCATCAAAAAGAATAAAATACCCATGAATAATCTTAACTAAGGAGGTAAAAGACCTGTACTCGAAAAACTATAAAACATTGATGAAAGAAACTGCAAACAACACAAACTGAAAGACATTCCACTCTCATGGATTGAAAGAATCACAGGACATGAGGTCAGTACCAAAAGAAATCAATTGTATTGTTATATAACAACAAATCTTTCCAAAATGAAATTAAAATATCAATACCATTTATAATAACATCAAAAAGCATTAAATATTTAGCGGTAGATTTAAAAAAAATGGGTGCAAGACCCGTATACTGAAAAATAAACACTGGTGAAAAAATATAAAGACTTAAATAAATATACAGGTAAATTTTTCATGTATTGGAAGATAATATCTTTAAGATATCAATTCTCCCCAAATTGATCTACACATTCGATGTAATCTCTTTTTGTAGAAATTGACAAGTTTATCTTAAACTGCATACAGAAATGTAAAGGACCTAGATATTCAAAAACTATTTTGAGAAAGAAGAACAAATTTGAGAACCTAATGCTTCCTATTTTAGAATTCTACTGGAATTCAGTCGGTTAAGCTGCTGAGGCTGGGGGAATTTGCGAAGGCCAATGAGAGAATGTTTTGAAGTCATGGAAATGTTCTGTGTCTTGGCTGTGGTGTTTTATATATAAACATAAATATAAAAATATATGGTGTGTGTGTGTATATATATATATATAAATACATGTATATATAGTAATATATATTTAAAGTAATAATTCATATATTTATAGTCATTAATAATTATGCCATTATTTATATATTTACATATTATAACTTATATGTATATATAATTGTCAATACTCTTTGAAATGTACACTTATTTTTTTTTAAGATTTTATTATTTTACTTGAGAGAGAGAGCACAGAGAGAGAGGGAGAAGCAGACACCCACTGAGCAAGGAGCCAGATGCGGGGCTCAATCCCAAGACCCTGGGATCATGACCTGAGCCGGAGGCAGATGCTTAATTAACTGAGCCACTCAGGTGCCCCTGAAATGTACATTTATAATAAATGCATTTTATCATATATAAATACTTCAATAAAATTGATTTTTTAAAAATCAAATAACCAACTTGGCGAAGAGTAAGTTATAAACCACTAATTTTTTGTTTAGCTCTTATGTGTGGTCTTATAAAACCTGAAACTTCCTTCATTTTACCATGAAAGTGTTCTATCCAAGCAATAGGTCTTTTCCTTTAGGATACTGTGTTTTTCCGTAGTAATTTTTAAAAATCTAGCAAAATAAGCTACTTACCAATATAGTTCTTCGACATGGCAACTTCTCTGACTTCAATATGGACAGAGCCTCTTGGTATCTGCACTACTTCCATGTAGCCTGGAATACAGAAGATAGCTAGTAATAAGCAGCACGTGCAGCCTTGGTCAGAAAATGAGTGTTTAGGAACCTTTCAGTAATAAGTTTCCTTGTTCTTTAAGTCTTTCTTTGACTTAGCACTTTATAAATTATGAAATATGGGCAAATTCCCCTTTGGGTTCATGAACACATATAGAATATTTTACTTTTTTTCTAAAAATATCTCAAGATAGTCTTTAAAGCCTCAACATGTATAATACTGGTTCAGGGTTTGTTTTTTCTCAACACATTGTCCTCCCATTAGTGCTCTGTGGGAATTCCCATCTGAGGGAAACATGGCTAAATGAAGTCAAGTAGAAAGGGAATCATATTTCCTCAAAATATCTTACATGAATCTATATTTAATACTTAAGAGACTGAAAGCAATTTAGGGAAAAAAACATAGTCTGCCTAAATAAAAAATTCAAAAAGAAGGGGGTGGGAAAAAAATCAAGCATTTTGACTATTCCCAGGACATCAGAGGTGTGAGGAAGAGTTCTCTCTACACACTCACCTCCTCTGGGCAACGAATCATTGAAGAACCCTTCAATGGCATCACATGTGCTTCCATCCCCTCCACAGACACGACATCTATCTTCTCTAGCATCGGATCCCAGAATATTATCACAACCTACATGCTGAAAACAAAGAAGAATATTCAGTATGTCATAAAGAGGAATTCTTGGAACCATAACTAACCAAATAAATATAACTTATTCATTTATTTGTTTTTCCAGTAAAGGAAATCAAAACAGGAAATATTTTCCTCTTTCCACTTTTTCCTTCACTGTCTAGTAAGTTCTTAGCTAAAATTTCTCAACATATCAGTTTAAAGGAAAAAAATTCTGATTCCCCAAGGAATATATGTCTGTATTTCCAACCTAGATTTCTTCTTCATTTATAGATACCATACTCTAAATCTTAAAATATTATAATTTGTTGGCAATGGACTCTTACTTATACCTTCAATCAAGAAATGAAAGAATTAAGAAAAATGCCATGTTGTCCTACACACAACATTTATAACAGCAGGAATCATGACTGAGCATTATGGTTTGACCTTTCTAAACCACTGGCTCTTTTGGATATCCAATTGTTAGTGTCAAGGATTGTGGAATTCAAAACTGCATAAACCTTTAAAAATGAATACCTGTTTCCACCAGCTGAATAAAATTGCCATAAAAACAAGGATATGTAAGCATATGATCTTGGATGCTGAAATTCTACCTTTCAGTTTTGCATTTAATCATAGAAATGTGGATTTTTATACATTTTTGTTATATATTTTGGCACTTGAATTTGTATAATGATCTTTAGCCACTGATACCAGGCATGTGATCTCTGAATAAAACCTGTACTTTTGTCTTTGCTAGCCGAAAGAATTTTAATACTGTCACAGAAATAACACACACGCACAGGATCATCAGATATATTGAGAATCAAGTAGCCTGAAAGACAGAAACTTTCGCAAGAAATTATGACACAAAACAGATAGTGTTTTTATCTCTTCTTTCTCAGTTTCTGAGACTTAGTTTTGTGCTTCTCTTTAATATAAAATAAAAACAAACAAGGAAAAAAGTTATGAGAACAGTGGTTTTTGCGGCTTTTCTTATTATGATTAGATTTACTCACAGGTCTAGGAAAATAGTATGGATTTGCTCTTATAACTCTCAACTAGTCAGGCTAATTCTCTAAAGTAAATGCTTTAATAAGGTAAAGACTAACTCTATAATGAAAACCACTTGCTTCAAAATGCTTCAGAAAGAGGCAAAGTAGGCAGAACATAGCTGTTTCACACTTTGAGGAAAATTATGCTATGAAATGTATCAAACAATCTTCCAATGAAAACATGTGGTAGCCATATGAATAAGAGCTGAATCCTTGTTCCCTCTCTCTTCCTATCATATTTGTAATCTGTTTATAAACGGAACAGAACAAAGTCCAAAATACATTCAGAGCTCTAGCAATTACTCTATACATAATTAGAACACCAAAATAAATCATATTTGCATGATGTTTGAATATGAATAGGCTATTTTACCTTTAACTATATGTACTGTTAACCTAATTTCTCTAAAATGTAGCTCTCTTTATTAAAGCTGAGCATAGTATTAATTAGGAGCAACTACCTGAGAAAAAAGACAAAAGTCTCAAAAGCCCCCCAAAAAAGGAGTAAAATTCATAATTGGAGCAACCTTGCATTCCCCATTGATACAGATATCCAGTGAATCAGCATTGCACTGAGTCCCATCAATCACCGCAGGGGCACGTTCAGTGTAGAAGTTGTAACCTTCAGCCAAGCAGTTTAATGCACAAGGTTTTACCCCACCTGGACAAATACAGCAGAAAAGAAATAAATGGAGTGGTTCTTTTAAGAAACAGTGATTCCATATTAACCACAGTAAATTTACAATTCATACAGACATCATTCCCTCACTGTATACCCAGATGTTTCTTTCCTCCTTTGCTAAAATTTTGTATTTAATTTCATTGTTTGTGCAACTTGACAGAAGATCTATTGAACAGTTTTAGGTTTAAAATGTTCAGGTATTTCCAATATATATTTAACAATATATTTTAGGTCAAAAGGAATCACAGTGGAGGTACCTGAATGTTGAAAAAAATGGATGAAATAAAAATCTTTTTCAAAAACTAAGAAAATAAAATTTGTGGCTTGACACAATAACTTCATATAGCAAGTGGGAATTTCTACAACACATATCACTTGTTAACTGAAGCTGATACAAAAACTCTACTTCAAGCAAGGATATGGTAGTTGTAAAAAACAAAACAAAACAAAACAAAAAACCCTCTAAATTTATACCTGCTTTAAACATACCATATTCCATGAATGTGTCTTTAGTGTAGAGATAAGTTTTTATGAGATAAGCAAATCAAAGGTAAAATTAATTATAGCATTAAATTTGAATAATTCTTGTTACTAAATCAAAGATAATTACACATAGCATTAAACATGAATAATTAAAATACCAAATTTTATTTTGGGAATAGAATAACTTCATCATTTTCATTTTGTCACTGAAATTTGTATTTCTTAAGGTTGATGTGAAAAATAGGCATAAATAGTAAAATTTAAAAAAACAAGCAGAGTAATATCAATCTCATAGTATATTGGAAAGACAGCAATATATATGAATTTATTTTATTCAAAACAGTGCATGAGAAAGCTACTTATAAAATATGTAACTACTGATTGAAATTATGACTTAAAAACACTTCATGTCCAACCTTCATTTGATGAAGTTTAAAACACTTTGTTTTTAATCTAATTGTGCTGATAAAATTTCTCTTTGAAATAAAGAAGACTGTTTCAACAAAAATAAGGCAGAAAGATAAAATGACACGCTTAGTCTTAGTAGAAAGTACAAATCTCAGGGAAGGTATGTGAAATAAAAGAGACAAGCCAACTGAGTGATAGAGACAATGGTAAATTAGAGAGAACATTCCATTAAAGGAGATCATTGTTATAGTTGATTGTTGCAAAATGCAAGAAGATGGCCCAATATTGTCAGATACTGTTTTTTCATGAGAAGATGGAAACCTAGATTTTTAAAATAAAAACTCTTTTTGGTAACTCATTCAAAGTTTTCAAAAATACTGTGGAAATTAAAACATCTATTTAAGTAAAAACTGGTTGCTGAACTGCCAGTTTACCACCTCTAGCCTAAGTCCATGTTTGCTTCCATTTTCAAAGTGTATAGGCTATAGAACTTCTATATAATTTGAAATGTTATTATTAGACTTAAGTTAATGGTACCTTTTGCTCTACTGAGCACAAATATAACAAGTAATAAATAGAATAATTTCTTCCTAAACTGATAATCAAGGTATTTATATTTATTTTTTTAAGATTCTCATGAATAGAATTGCTCTAAATTTCCATGAACCTTACTGGGATTTTTTTCATTACTACCCAGTATAGTTCTTTTCCCATTTTTTATTATAGTGCTTTGGAATTTAATGTAGGTTTTTATGTATCAGGCTTTAACAAGAGAACATTAGTGTTGTTTACTCAATTTTAACATTTTTTAATTATGTAAGGTAGTATTTGATATGTAGGACATATAAATGCTATGGCTGTATTCCTTAGGCTACCATAATATGTGATGATAATAAAAATACATTTTTCCCTTTTTTATTACGGAAGATGTATTCAGCTTCCTCAGCTACAGAGAGGTTTTTTGTTTTTTGTTTTAAAGTAGGCTCCACACCCAGCATGGAGCCCAACATAGGGCTTGAACTCATGACACTGAAATCAACACCCAAGCTGAGATCAGGAGAGTCAGACACTTAACCAACTGAGCCACCCAGGCACCCCACTCAGCTACAGTGAGTTTTCAGAAGAGGTACTGCTATTATTTTGAGAAAAGTTTTAAGATAATTCTCTAAATGGAAGGTCACATCATTACCAGTTACCTTCAGTGAAAGCTTATTATGAATTTAGGGTTAATTCACTATGCTTATAATTACCTAGATGCTAATTATTAAATCTGTAAATTTTATCAGACACTTCTTTTCCTCCTACAGTAAGACAAAATAATCCTAACCTTATATGTACCTAATAAGAGCAATTTGAAATACATGAAGAAAAACTTACAAAAAAGAAAGCAAAGCCAAAAAACAGTTAGAGATTTTAACACATTCCTCTCAGTAACTGATAGAAGAACTATAGCAGAAAAAAATCAGAAAGAATATAAAAGATTTAAACAACACTATCAGCCAACTTGATGCAATGGATATCTATGGAACACTGTATCCAACAATTGCAGAAAACACATCCTTTTCAAGTACAGATAGAACATTACCAACATGAACAAGAAATGGTACTATAAAACAAATCTCAATTAATTTTAAAAATTTAAATCATACAGACTATTCTCTGGGCATAGCAGAAATTATACATCAATAACCAAAAAAAATCTAGAAAATAGCAAATACTTGGAAAGAAAAATATCATAGTTCTAAATAATCCATGGGTCAAAGAAGAAATCACAATGTAAATAAAAGATTTTGAACTAAGGGAAATTTTTTATTTTATTTATTTATTTATTTATTTATTATTATTTTTTTAAAGATTTTATTTATTTATTTGAGAGAGAGAGAATGAGAGAGAGCACATGAGAGAGGGGAGGGTCAAAGGGAGAAGCAGACTCCCTGCCGAGCAGGAAGCCCGATGTGGGACTCGATCCAGGGACTCCAGGATCATGACCTGAGCCGAAGGCAGCCGCCCAACCAACTGAGCCACCCAGGTGCCCAAACTAAGGGAAATTTTTAAAAAAAATCAAGTTTGGTAATGCAGAAAAGCAAAATGAACCCCAAATCTAAAGATAATAAATATAAGAGCAAAAATTAATAAAAGAGAAAAAAGTAATAAAGTAATAAAGCCAAAAGCTGATTATTTGAAAAGGTTAATAAAATTAATAAACCTCAAGCAAGACTGATCAAGAAAAAGAGAGAAAACACATATTATCAATATCAGAAATGAAGGATCATACATCACTACAGAGCCTACAGATATTAAACAGGACAGTAAGAGAATGTTATGATCAATTTTCTGTCAAGAAATGAGATATGGGAGTAACATAAGTTTCTTGAAGACATAAGAATTGTTTAAAAATCTGAATAGCCCTTTATCTACTAAAAGAGTTGAATTTGTAATAATTTTTTTTTCACAAAGAAAATATTAAGCCTGAGTGGTTTTAGTAGTGAAATCTATTCTAAAGAGGAAATAATACCAATCCTACAATCTCATTCAAAATAAACAGGGATTCTATTTCTGGAAGCCACAGTAACACTAGTACCCAAACTTGTCAAAAACATGACAGGAAAAAAAATTTGTGAATCAGAATTCCTTAAAAAAATAGATGCAAACATCCTTAATAAAATATTAGAAATTAAATCTAACAACATATAAAAAGAGAAAAAATCATTGCCACATGGGGTTTAGCCTAGGAATAAAAGGTTGGTTTGACATAATAAAGAAAAATACATATAATCATACATGTACAAATTGTACTGAAGAGCCAATCCAGTGCATTAAGGCAAGAACGTGAATTAAAAGGCATAACAATTGATACAGTCTCTACTTTCAGATAACATGACTATTTACCAAGAAAATCCTAAGCAATCTACAAAACAACTATTAGGACTAATAGTTGTTCTAAGAGAACAACTAAGGAAGATCACAGAATACAAATTTAATACACAAAAATCTATGTATTTTTGGATACTAGAGCAAGCAATTGAAAATGATATATTTTAAACCTTTATTTACAATAGTTTCAAAAAAAATTACTCAGGAATAGATTTAACAAAAGAAGTGCAAGACCTAACACCTAAAACTACAAAACATAGCTAAGAGAAATTAAAGAAAACATAAATAAATGGGTATATATATATATTACGTCCATAAATTCAGTATCGAATTCAATATTCAATGTTAAAATAATATTGTTAATTTATCAGTTCCCCTTCAATTGATCTATAAATTCAACATGATAGCAATCATAAGCCCAGCATGTTTTTCTGCAGTAATTAATAGCAATTCTAAAATTTACATAGAAGTGCAAAGCAATTAGAATATCCAAAGGACTCTTGAAAAATAGATCAAAGTTGAAGGAACTTACACCCTGTGTCCAAGACTACGTATTTACAATAATTCAGTCAGTGTGGTGCTAGCATAGTATTGCTACCATTTCATTTCATTGTGCATTTTGCACATTTCATTGTGTATTTCTATTGTTGACAAATAAGTAAAACAAAATATAGACCAAACTACAAATACACACCATAACCCCAAATTATTTTTAGACTGTAAATCCAAATGTAAAGACCAAAACCATACAGCTTTTAGAAAAAAACATAAGAAAACATCTTCTTGAGTTCAGAAAGGCAAAGATTTCTAAGACAGGACACTGAACACAATAACCATAAAAGGAAAAAAAATGAAAAAATAGTATTCATCAAAATTAAAATCTTATACTCATCCCAAACACCATTAAAAAAGTAAAAGGAAAGCCCAAAGATGTGAAAAAAATATTCATAAAATTTATCTGATAAATGACTACCACTCAAGAATAAAAAGATAAATAACCAATTAAAAATAGGCAAAGGATTTGAACAGACATTTTACAAAAGAAGACTTATAAATGGTCAATAAGCACATAGAAATGTGCTCAACATAATCAAGGATCAGAAAATGCAAATTAAAACTGCACTGAGACATTATTATACACCGACCAGCAGAAGACTGAAAATACCAAACGTTGGCAAGGATGTGGAAAAACATAATTTTCATATGTTGTTGGTGGGAGTGTAGTATGGTACATCATTTTGGAAAAACATGTGGCAATTTCTTTTAAAACTAAACTCACACCTACCCTATTGCCCAGCAATTCCACTCCTAAGTATTTACCCAAGAAAAATGAAAACATATGCTCACAAAAAGACTTCTACAAAAATGTTCACAGCAGCTTATTCAGAACAGCTGAAAACTAGAAACAACTCAGGTGGCCTGCCATCAACAGCACAATGGGAAAACAAACTGGTTATTACAATGGAATGCTGCTCAGCAATAAAAAGGAATAAGCTATTCATACATACAATAATGTGGATGGATCTCAAAAATATTAGGCCCAAAACACAGGCCAAATATGACATGATTTCACTTATATGAAGTTCTAGCACCAGCAAAACTAATCTATGGTAAGGAAAAAAATATCAGAACAGTGGTTGCCTCTTGGAAGAAATAGGTAGAGGCAGCTATTGACTGGGAAGGACTATGAGGACTATGAGAATTTTGGAGGTATGATAATGTTCTATATGTTAATAGGGCTTTGCAGGTGTACATATTTGTCAAAACTCAAGGAAAGTACAGTTAAGATTGTGCTTTGCATTGTACATAATCTAACCTGAAAAACAATAAATAAGTATTGAACTGTGGTTAATGTTATACATGCTGAAGTATTTAGAGGAAAGTATAGCAATGATTACAATTTACTTTGACATGCATCTAAAAAATAAATGGATTAATGGATAGAGAGATGACTAGACATGTAACAAAGTATATTATAATGTGAATAATAGAATCTTGTCAATGTAAAATTCTTTTAGTATTGCTCTGTTGGAAAATTTTCAAGGTAAGATACTAGAATAAAAAACAAACAATAAAAGTTTTTTAAAAGTACATTCAATTTCTCTAAGAGAAAATTTTAACAAAATTAAATTTGTATTTTGAGAGTACAAGAAAACGTCTGGTGTTTACTGAACAATTAGTGTTTGATACATGCCCAAATTAAAGGGTAAAAATGCTTCTCAACACTAAAAAAGAATAATAATAATCTATGGGAAGATCCTTGGCCTTTGACCAAAAAAGTATACAGGTTTTCCTGGCCACTTTTGAGTTGATTTATATTGTTATAAGTTGTTTTTAGGGTGATAATTACAAATATTCAGTGATTATAAATGATTATAATATAATGTCCATATACCCCAAGGAAGTCTCAAGAACTCAAAAGTATTATTTGGGTTTATATCCTTTCTTGGACTTTTGTACCTTGTTAAATAGAATTAGGTTTTTATAAATGATTTCTGATCATTTTTACTAACATAAGCTTTATTACAGGGAAACTGTATAGTACTATAAGCGTTATCCTGCTTTGATTTGCAAACACTAATTTTTACTAGTAGGTGTATGAAGGTATGTGTGTGTTTGTATGTATTTATATATTCTTTTATATTTGCAAAGCTCTCAAGCATGATGAATGCTCTGCTGGTTATACATTACCTCCAGTATAGGGTTTCCAGTTATAATACTTTCCACGGAAAGGCATATTGTCAAAGTCTGCACATTGTTTCTCTCGAAAATCTCGGGCCCCCAAAGGACATGGCTAAAATAAAATAAAATCATAAATGGTATGATTGTTGAAAAATACCAAAACTAAGGGACAATGTCCCTAAAATTAAAATTGCCTGAACTCGTCACTGCCTGATGCTGTAGCTATAATTCTGGCATTTATTTTACATTTACTTGTTCTACAGCAGTATTCAGACTGACGTATCTGAATTGTAATCTTAGCCACAGAATAAATAACTGAAGTAATTTATACGAAATTATGTGTGAGACAGATTCCTTATAACTTTATACTCAGATACATGGCATAGTCCACTTTGCAATCAATCCATCAGGTACCTTCTTATAAACACACATAAAAACTAGATGAAGAAACTAAAACACATAATGTCTTTTGGTAACATTATTTAAGGTCCAGTTGCCACAGCTACTCCCAGCTCTTTATTTTAAGGAATCAAGAGGCAGGTTTGTAACACAACATTCAGCACTATTAATTGTGGTTTGGATCCCTAGTACTATAGCTGTTTACTGTCTAGCCTTGACAAAAACCATATTTTAAGATGTGGAATGAACTGGGCAAATGCTAGGCCTCAAGTCTAAACACCTTCAAATTCAAAGAATTTGGACTTACTAAGATTTACATTTAATCTACGAAAATCACAGAAAATAAAATACTAAATTGGTTCAAAACATGTGCATGTGTTGGGTGGGGAGAGAGAAGGATGTTGAGAGGGTGAAGAGAAGGTTATTTGTTTTTAAAAGTTTGGAATGCTTCTTCTACGTGAATTTTTTTAAAAAGGAAAACCTTAGCAATGTAGTTAGGTCTAGATTCCAAATACCACAGGCCATCCTAAATTCAATCTTTAAGTTCACAAAGAATTAAAAGTATAACATCTCACTGTGTTTGAGCAATATGACCTAATTTGACTTATCTTTTAGAGTTCTGCAGTTGTAGCACCTAAAACAATCACTGCTTTTGATACACGATGGAAAAAATATCCTGCTCACATATTGATCAACAAAACAGGTCAGCAGATAAAATTCTTAATTGTGAATAAATAATGAGTAGATTAAACGCTCAGAGATCATTCGAGGACTTTTTACTACCCTCCCTCGGATCTCTACATTTACTTTATACAGTTTTCTGAGGTCAGTATATTGTAAATGGTCCCTTGAAGCATGTACAAAAATAATAGATCACAACGTGCAAATAGTCGCACGGTCATCATTACATCCTCTATATTGTGGTTCAAATCTCTACCATATCAAGTCCAAAGCCTCAAATTCTGAAAACAGTGCAAATAGGTCTGCATTCCATTGTGAGCCCTGTGTTTTAAAATAATTTCTGCATGTAATTTCTGGGGGTTAAAACTATTAAGAAGGAAGCCAAGAAAAGCCATGGGTACAGGAAGGAGAAGGTCATATGTTGGGAATAGTTGGAAAAAAGGCCATCCTAGATGAAAGAAACTTATGAAATAATAAGAAGAGATGACATTTCATAGAAAACCACTGGTACATAAAAAAAGCCCTGAATTAACAAACTAAGGCATCATGAGGACTATTCACTTAAAAACAAACAAAAAATCCCATTCTTGACTATCTTGTAATGAATCTCCTAAATACAGGCAAAGTAAAAAGTCCGACAGGAGGATATTAGAGTTTAATAAAGCATTTGGATAACATTTCATAAAATTTCTAACCTATACTCTTTCCTGTGATAACCACTCAGGGTCAGCGTAATAAAAATATTAGCAACGACAACAGCTATTTAACATTTACTAAGCATTTAGCAAGTACCCACTCTATGGCACACTATTTGGAAGCCTATAGATGTATTATCCATTTAATCTCTTTCAACACTCTTAGGTAGCTGTAATTAATAATCCCTTTTACCGAATACACTGGCTACAGAGGGTTGCTCAGTGATAGTTTCAGGGTGTAAGGGCACTCCCTCATCTGAATGGGAGCTTCCTTTGAACTCTAAATGCTACAGTAACAGCATAAAGTTTTAGCTCTGTTAATATGTATAAAAACTTAATAGGAGTAACTTGAGTTCCTGTCATTTCAGCTGCAAGTTTCTTTTCTTCTCCAAACTACTTTTTCCTCATTTATAAAACAAGAGGACTAAAAGCAAAATTTTGGAGTATGACAAACTGGGATTCAATTCTAACTTGGTCTTTTATTTAATTCATGGCCTTCAGCAATGTACTTAATTTTCCAAGACTCATCTATAAACTGGGGATAATATTAGTATTTACCTCCTAGGTGAGGATTCATGTGAACTGTTTAGCTCTGTACCTGGCATAGAGCAGAAGTGAATAGCTATTAGCAGCTGTTCTGGTCTCGGTTCTAGGCATTCTTAGATTCATTCCTCACCTTCTCCTGCTCTGCTCTGTATCTCAGAGGAACAAACTCTGCAAGCTCCATTTTCCAGGCTTCTGTGTCTGCTGATTTCTGACAATGGTTCAGGCAATGAAGGCACTCCTGGGAGAAGCCAGAGTATTTCTCTTTCTTTCTTCACCTCAGGCAGCACCACAGGCAGAAGTACAATCTTTTTGTGACTCCAACTTCAGGTAATAGCACCACACTTACCCATTCCCTCCACCCTCTGGCCCTATCTTATGATTCTAGCAGGTAAGGGGATGGATAGTGAGGTGGGAGGGAAGTTGTTTTAAAAGGTATGGTCAGAGGGGCGCCTGGGTGGCTCAGTCAGTTAAGTGGCTGCCTTCGGCTCAGGTCATGATCCCAGGGTCCTGGGATCGAGCCCCACATCGGGCTCCCTGCTCAGCGGAGAGCCTGCTTCTCCCTCTCCCTCTGCCTGCCACTCTGCCCACTTGTACTGCCTTTGTGTCAAATAAATAAATAAAATCTTAACAACAAAAAAAGGTATGGTCAGAGAAATTCTCTCTAGTAAGGTGGCCCTTGAGTAGAGAGTTAAAAGAAACTGAAGGAGTGACTCACACATCAGTGAGAAGAGTAAACAGTAAATGCAAAGGCCCTGAAACAGGAGTGTGTTAAGGAGGTTCATAGAATAGCATGGAGGATGCAAGGGCTTAAGGAAACTGTAGTAGACTTGATCCCACGCCTTTCTGTTTCTAGAATATATCAGCTAGTGATTTCAACGTTTCCTTCAGTGAATGCTCTGAATTTGTGTTGATTAAAAATTAACTCAGTAGGAGTTGTATATCCTCGTTCCAAAGAATAAGAGTGATCAAAGAAAAGAGTAGTTTAAGGAAAAATTACATGAAGTATATTTTTATTTTTGTTTTTTTAGGAATAGTAGAGAGTTTAAGGAGTAATGCTTTCTAAATTGCTTAAAGGTAATAAATGCTGACACCATGCAAAAACAGTGGGCATAAGCAACCAATTTTTTATGTAAAGCCTGACAGGTTTTCAGCCTCCTAGTGTTAACTCTAATCAAGCATCCTCTCCTTCTAAAAAGCAACCAGCAGGATCCCACATAAATCCAGAGGGCAAAACTGCAGGTCTCAGCATTTTTAATCTTAGTATTTTCAAAGAAATAATAAAAAAAATTAATACTAGCATCTTTATCAGCACTTTTTTTTTTTACAGAGATATGTTAGCACATTCTACAGACTATCTTATGCTTCCAATTACACTGATTGCTTAAAAGCATCTCCTTTTGACAAATACTTTTTATTGGTACGTAAATCTAAAAACAAAGAAAGGATAATTCATTGGGGCATAAAAGTTGCTATAGAAAGAAATCTCAGCTTCCGCTGACAAACTTTGTAGTGGCATTTCTATTACTGGACTTCTAATCCTGGTTTTGTCTCAAAGAATACGGTGACCTTGGCAAGTCACAGAAGCCCTTTGTGCCTTCTCTCTTTCATTTGCAAAATACACCCAAAATGCCACTTAACTTCAAGAGAAATACATCCCAAAATGTCTTGCAAATGAGGAAAATTCCGTAAATACTGTGTTATATCTTACATGTAATAAAGTGTGAGAAGAAAGCAGAGCACGAAAATTCTTTTTCCCCTTTCCCATTCCTCTCCTCTTCGTAAAGGAGATAGGCAGGCTGGCAGGATACAAGGATTTCCTATGGCCTCAGGTAAAATTGCAAAATGAGCAAAATTGGTATTTTATTTTCCTACTACTTTTCTCTATTGTGCTTTCCACCTTCTGCTGTTTCTTCTTTTCTTGCTTCCACACTACATGCACTTTTGCTTCTTCACTATTACACTAGACCACACTTCAACACTCCCCAGATGTAATTTTCTGCTTCCTCTCCAGGATGGCAATTTATTCTTAGCTGGCTATACCCTATTAGTTTCAGGAGCCTAAGTGGAATTTAAATTCCAGCCCCTGATCTGCTTAGCAAGTCACTTACTTGACATGGGACTGTGAAGAAAGGACATTTTTATTTGTTCACCCAAAAAGGCATCACTTCCTAAGTCACACAATGACACACATGCTAACAAAGTCCTTGCTTCCACAGCTTCTCTTAGAAGTTGCAAACAAAACTCCTGATTTCCTAGTTACCAGGTATTGTATGATTATCTCACTGAAGTTGAACGTAATGTCCAGTGAATCATCTCAACCAGTTTTGATTCAATCTTATCTTTTCTCTCCAAAATGGTTTCTGATTTTTTTTTGTAGTTTCACTGAATATTTACTTTTAAAGCAAAAGAAACAAAAGTCTGCTAAACCTATATTGTCCAAACTAGAATCTAGCTGTCATATTTGATACCATAATCCTCTGTGCAAGTTTTCAAACTTAAATCTATTTCTGTATGGCCTGAATTTAACTGAAATGCTATCTGTCCATAGCATAACCCTTTCCCCTAAGCCTGTGAAAATGTTAGGCAACATTCACTTTGTAATTTTTAAAGCATCCCTTTTAAGAACAAAATAAACAAGCAAGCTCTATTCTGTGTTTAGAAACTAGTCCTTATTTTTCAAAACATGATACACACCATAAAAGTCATACTAACCCAAAGAAGATTAATGATACTTGCTCCTATTACTTTTTTGCCACATATAATACTATAAAAATATTATATATAATATTCATAAAAATCCAGTGTTGGAGACATACCTGTTTTCTAATTATAACCTGGGACACTGTTATAACACTGTTAATGGATCAACTCTGTACCTTGTTATCACTTACCCCACACCTCTCCCTGGGGGCAAGGTCTGTAGTTTCAGAATGTTCTCAGCTATCTGGTTCTGCTGCAGGGTAAGGTTAGACTGGAAGTAAGACAATGTCAAAGGTGACCAAACTCTTTCAGAGAAGCTTACCTTGCCACACCCACCTCCCAGGGGCTCCATCTGTTACAAGAGCACTAAATAAGTACTCAGAAATCCTATGCCTGACTCAATCCCTTCCATGGTACTGCTCAGGATTAGTTCCTCATTTTAAAATACTTAAAAAAAAAATACTTGTTCTTCCTCTTTATAAAAGTGATTTGAAGATATAATGAGGTTATGTATGAAAGTATTTTGTAATTTTTGTAATCTGCTTGGAAACAAAAATGTCTCCAATATTAACTACACTGTATTGAGTACAGATTAAGTATTAGGAAGTAGCACTGGATGTTCTACATGTGTTAATTCTTTTAATTCTCAAACAATCCTGCAAGGTGGATATAATTATATTCTATAAAGGAGTTCCCTGAAGTTTAGTGAGATTATTTTGCCAAGACCAAACAGCAATAAGAGTTACAGTCAGCATTCAAACAAGTCAATTTGAAGCCAAAATCCATACTTTTCCCACTACAATCCTACCTTGAAATATAGGCTATCTTTCTCCACAACCAAAGGAGTGTATCACCTCTTAATGACCATAAGCAAGGTCTTGAAGAAGAAAAAAATTGCAGAATAGCATGCTCCTCTAGAAACACTGACTGAGAAAATACCTAGGTACTATATAATTTATGCTTAAATTTTTGAACAGACAGCAGATGACCTAGAAACCCTTCTGAGTCCATAATTTTTTAAATAGTTTTGATGTATAAGATAGAGGAGGAAATGCGATGTTTAAGATGCAAGACAAATACAACTTTCCATCACAGCCTGAGTGAAGCTTAGGTATTTCACCAGAAGTTTTACCCTAGTTGTAGAGGTTGCTTTTAGGCAACCAACTTGAACAATGGAAACCTGAGTAATGTAGAAGGGCGCACGGTGACCCAAGCCCCATGCTGAATACAAACAGCCTGTTAGGGAACCCACCTCCAAATATCCATAAGCCTTAGCTGACCTATGGGTTACTTACACCCACACACAGATACCAAAAAAAGGAAAATTCCATACATTCCCATACTTCCTCACCTTCCCTCTTTAACTGCAACCCCCACCACTGCCTCTTGGCAGACAGTCTGCTTTGCTGTCCTGCCCGCCTCTCCCTTGTGGTGTATTTGATAAACATCTACCTCCTTTGTTTTGCCTTGGGTGAGTTCTTTCACTACCAGTGCTGCCAGCCTCCACCTAATCTGGTCACCCCACACTAGTCACATTATCAAGCAGACACACAAATCACAAATAACATACAACAGGAAAAACAAGGATTTTTTTTCCCCTTTGGTTTTGGAGAGTAGCTAAGCTAAAACAGGAAATTCTTTTTGGAAATGTAGAAATGTCTTTTTTTATGGCGTTATGACTTCCATAAAATTCTGCTCTTCAAACCAAAGTCTCACAAGGGCCATGTCTATTATCTATTAGATTAGCTTATGATCCCAAATATTCTATTATAGTTGCTACTTTAATGGTGAGACCTAACTTCATCCAATTCTACTCTATAATAAAAGCTCCTGATTTCTCAGTAGCTTCAAGATGAAAACCATTTTAATTTGTTCCTGCTACAGTTATTGTCTTTACATGCTGTTCTGTCCTAGAGCCCATCATATATATGGATGTCAAAGAAAGAGTCCTTGTCTAGTTGCTTCTGAAGGCTTCTGGGGTGACCGATGATGATCTAGGGAACAAACTGCCTAATGCATCCTAATGCAGATAATCAGCTTCAGAGTCGAACATGTGAATACCTTTGGCCTCCAGGCTGATTAGGTTACTGTTGAGACTGGTCAAGCTAATTTTACAGCTGGATACAATTTTCTGACCTATTTTTAAATTTTTTAAAGATAGAGATTTTTTTCTTTACAAGTTACCTCTTCTATCTCTGGGGATCTTTTTCCTTCCAACTGGGGTAAATGGAACAGGAAATAATGGGAACATTGTTCCCTGTCCACTGGACAGCTCTTGTCTTTCTACCATTCCTCTATCCTTCAAATGCCTGTGGTGGGAATTAAATCAGCACTGGGGACAGGTGTGGCTGTCTTGTTTTTGTGCTAGCCACTTTTTAAGACTACTTGGCCTACAAAGTTTCTCAGTTTTAATTTTTCCTCTAATTTAAGCAAAAAGAGTACTGTCAGCCTTGCATGTTTCAATCTGATTCACCAATGTGGAGATCCCTATAGGAGAATCAAACCTTCAAAATAGTAAAGTGTTCCTTTGCGATATATCTCTTTTTGTTGTGGCTACTTGACATTATGAAACTTAGAACTGATAGTGTTTGCCTGTTTACTCATGCCTCTAAGAAACTCAGAGTAAAATGTGTGGTCCATCTTATTATGTAGAAGAAGCTTATGATACATATTTAAAGTATTGATCCCAACTTAATATTATTTTCCTTTTTCTTGGATTTTCTAATTTATTCTGTTTTTCACTTATGATTTTAATGAAGCTAACTCAACTCTAATCAGAGAGTAATGACTAACAATGATAAATAATTATGATATGTAAAAACATGAGAACTAAAGTGGTAATCTATAGTACTAGCTGGCCAATCACAGAAATGAGAAGGTCAAGACTGCTATACTACATGAGAAACTGACAGGCTATGAATGGGTTGTAAGATCTTAAAAGGAATGCAAGTAGGCTCTATCAAAGACATGTGGATCAGACTAACATCTCCTAGATTTTGTTTCTTTTCTTTGTTTTTTTTCTTTTCTTTCTTTCTTTCTTTTTTTTTTTTTTTGAGAGAGAGAGAGTGCACGTGTGCCTGTGTGCAGAACTCACATGAGCAGGTGTTGGGGGTGGGGGCCTGAATGTGGGGGGAGGGGCAGAGGAGAGGGAGAGAGAGAATTTTAAGTAGGCTCTACATGGGGCTCGATCCCAAGACCCTGAGATTATGACCTGAGCCAAAATCAAGAGTCAGGCACTCAACCAACTGAGCCACCCAGGTGCCTCATAGATTTTCTATTTTTTGTTATAATGTCCATTCTGAGCATAAATTAAACAGCAGAGAGCAAACCTCCAAGATTCATAAATGGGTGCTCCTGCCATTTGACTGCCTAACATGATCTCATTCTGTGCAATGATTTGCAAATTCTTCCAGGATCATTTGCAATTATCCTTTATTCCCTATTTAAGTCTCAAGAAAAGCTCTTGGATCACAAATGACAAGCCAAAATGCTTATGAATTGTTTCCTAGTTTTTGACTGTCAAATTGATTTTAACTAAGTGTAAAAATGTCTCTTAGATATTATTTACAGTGTCACTAAATATGATGAGCACAGTATTAAATGATGTTAAAAATGCACTAAGTTTAGAGACTGATCTAATAAAGACAAGTATACTCTGGAATCCCTTAAATTAACACCCAGGCAATACAGGGGAAAAAAAGAACATTTAAACCATTGTACAGGGGTGCCTGGGTGGCTCAGTCGTTAAGTGTCTGCCTTCAGCTCAGGTCATGATCCTGGAGTCCTAGGATCGAGCCCCACATCGGGCTCCCTGCTCAGCAGGAAGCCTGCTTCTCCCTCTCCCACTCCCCCTGCTTGTGTTCCCTCTCTCGCTGTGTCTCTGTCAAATAAATAAATAAAATCTTGAAAATAAATAAATAAACCATTGTACATTTAGAAAAAAGTTCCAAGGTTAATTTAAAAAATACAAACACAATAACCCTATAATACTTCCATAGTAACACCAGTCTGTGCTTACTGGAACATACTGAAGTTCTCTTGCTTGCATGACTCAATCTTAACTACAATCAATTCACTCTTCATGATTTATCATTAAATTCTCTGTCTTATAATACAGTCTATATAATAGAAACTTTAGAATAGATTTATAAAATATAGGAGTTTCTACTCTAATACACTCTTAAAAAACCTCTTTCTACAAAATTGCACAGTAAAAATAGCAGGCATATAAGAAAAATAGTGCTAGAGGCAGACAAATCAAAGACAGGACACTAACAAAAACAATAACAATTCTAATAAAATACTAGCACAGTTTAAAAAATACCTGGCAAATTCCTAACAAGGGAATACTGGAGTAAACATAGGACTTTATCTTCACCCCCACCAAAAAAAAGTGAAATAATTTAGAAAGGGTTGAGGATGTTGAGTTATAGAGACAAGAGGCCAATGTAGAAAGAACAGGCAGAAACACATGATAAGGAGTTCTATGACAGAGCATGAGGCCAAACTAGCAAAAAGAAGACTGTGGGATAAAGGGTCAACATTTACACTACAATTTTCCTCTACCATTCAGCTGTATCAATGTAGTTTGACTTTAGTCACTATATCACTTAGTGGCAAAAAATATGGCACAAAATGACAATCACTTATGAGCTAATTTGTGTTGCAGAGGCAAAGCTGTAATAGAACAGATTATACCAAAACTTTAAATTAGCATATTTTTTCTAGATTTTTATTGAAAGAATAAAAATTTAAAATATCTCAGCAAGCCAATTCACTGGCCAGGAGAAGGAGAAGAACTCTCAGATTGGGAAGAAAATACGGTTAAATTAATGGGTCTGGCACACAGTGAATGCTCAGTAAATGTTAGCAGCAGCTACTATCACTACTACTTCTGTTGCTGCTACTTCTACTAGTAAAGCTGGAAACTAAACGAGCTCTGAGCAAACATGTGTGGCGTACCCAGGATCTGTCACTCTCCACTTTACTGCTAACAGAATTCTGATTTTTGCCCAGGAATCTACCTCTCAGGAAAGATGACCTTAACTTCCTTTTAGGGGCAAATATGGATTAATCTAAACCAATTATGGTAATCCCATTCTTTTTTCCCATGACTGGTTTAAAATGGATATGTACCCTCCAGGCCAATAAAACATGAATGAAGTCCGCCAAGGGAACAAGGGAGGAGCTTTGGGAAAAGCTTTCCTTATAGGAAGGAGAGAGACACAGTAGCAGTTTATCTGGTCTCTTCCTCTGAATATTGTCAGGGCAAAAGTACTTTAGGTGCTCTGATGCTCCACTTACATTTTTGAGTTCCCCTTTCTCAAAGAATTTGACCTTCAGGAATTTCCCTCACTATCTTGTCAGTTATTTGCAGATTTTAAAGTGATGCTTTAAAACATTCTTACTCAATAATTCTTAAAAAGAGTTCTGTCAGAGTAACTTACTCTATCATTACCAAAAATGGAAATATTCTACATTTGTTTCCAAAATGATCTAAGATTGATTTGTTTTGAGAATTTTATATATAATATTTAAAGTCTTCTTTATAACAATTATTTTTCTACTGCATAGCTAGACTATGTAGCTCGGTGCTGTCCAACATGGTTGCCATGAGCAACATGTTGCTATTTGAATTTAAATTAATTAAACTTAAAAGTTCTGTTTTTCGTTTACACTCACATTTTTATTTTTTTAATTTTTTATTTTTTTAGATTTTATTTATTTATTTATTTGACAGAGAGAGACACAGCGAGAGAGGGAACACAAGCAGGGGGAGTGGGAGAGGGAGAAGCAGGCTCCCCGCAGAGCAGGGAGCCCGATGCGGGACTTGATCCCAGGACCCTGGGATCATGACCTGAGCCGAAGGCAGACGCTTAACCAACTGAGCCACCCAGGCGCCCTACACTCACATTTTTAAAAAAAAATTTTGGGGGGGCGCCTGATACAAATTGTATCATTTGCTGAAAGCTAAAACAGAAGACAAAGCTGGTAATAGAAATGCCAATCCACCAATAGTAAGTTCTACAATTTGGCTTCATCATTCCTCCTGACCTCATCATGGTCATTTTCTCTATTTATTAAAGGATCTGGTACCTGGTTCACAGTCTCACTCTATACTCCAGGTTTTAACATCATCCTGAGTGACCTCAACATCTGCATAGAAGACTCCCCAAATTCCCTGGCCTTGAAGACCCCTGAACTCCTTCATCTCGCCCAAGGCTAGGCATGTATTCCCTTGGCCACACTGCAGATTTGTCATCATTGAGAATAGTCTCACTTGTCATATATGAAATTCAAGTACATTCCATTCTCTGATCCCCATACCTTCTATCTCCCTCACCGTGTTTTTCCTACTACTACATTGGTTCTTCAATTTGTATGGATTTTTGAAGTTAGGTCCTTAATTTTCTCCTCTTAGCCCTCTTTAGACTGTCATTCCCAGTGCAGAATGCATGACTCAGCACTTCAGTCATTCCCACCAGTACCCTTAAATTCTTTCTGATCTGTTTATTGTTCTGTTGTAGTCTCACCTTCTCTGATCCATTCTCACATAAAGTATAAATCTGAGGCTAAGTTTTTGAATGGTGTCTTACTACCTCCAAGTAAGTATCATGCTGTTTAACCTACAAGTCTTGCACTTAATTTTCCTTCTACCTAGAATGCTCTCATTGTCACGTTCTTCTTTTCTGGTCAGCTCCTATTTGGCCTTCATATCTTTACCTTCCTATGGGAAGAAATCCCTAAATCCTTAATTAGGCTATGTGCCCATTCTATGTGCTTTTATAGCATCCCATACTTATTCTAAGATATCATACATTTATCACGCTGAATGGTGATTTTCTGCACTTAACTGATTTCCCAGGAAATTATAAGATCCTTGAGAGCAGAGATTGTCTTTCTCACTCTAGAACAGTCTGATATACAATAGGCACTCAATGGTTTGTTGAGTGAATGAATGAATAATGCTGGTAGGTTGAAACGATCATTGTAATTGAAGCTACATGTTATTACTTCAGGATGCAAATGTAACATAGAAGTAATATGATCAATAAGCTAGAGAGTATATTAGAAGTATGTATGGGGGGAAATAGAGCAGGGTAAGGGAGATTAGGAGTCTCAGGGTTGTAGGAAGTAGGGAAGATTGCAATTTTAAATATGATATTCAGGCTAGGGTTCACTCAGAAGGTGACAGTTGAATAAAGGTGAGGTAAAAGAGTAAGCCATGTAGATATTGTGGGAGAAGAGTATATAAGGTAAAGGAAATGGGCAATGCAAAAGCCCTGAGGTGGGAGCGTGCCTGGTATGTACAAGGAAGGAGGCCCATGTGGCTGGAGCAGGGTTACTGAGGAGGAAATAGTTAAGAGATTAGTTCAGAAAAGTAATAGAGGGCTAGATTGTATAGTCTTTGCAGGCCTTTCTAAGGGCCCTGGATTAAAGTAAAATGGAGTCATTGAAGGGTTTTGAGTAAAGGATATAATTTGACTCACTCTGACCCCTGTATTGAGAACTGTAGGGAGCAAGAGTAGTAATGGGAAATCCACTGAAAAAGCTCTTCAGACTAAGTCAGTGAAGAACAGAGGAGTAGCAGTGGAGGCAGTGAGAAGTAGTCAGATCTAGGATATATCTTGAAGGGAAAGCCAATGGGATTTCCTGAGGGATTGGATATGAGCTGTGAGAGAATGGAATCAAGAATGACTCAAGGGTTTTTGGCTTGAGGTAGAGGGCGTTGACATATGAGATGGGAAAAACTGGGAGGTACAGGTAAATGGAAATGTTTTAGAGATAACATTTGGACATGTTAAATATCAGATGTCTATTAAAAGTCTAATCAATGGTAATATACGAGTCTGGAATCCATGAAAGAAATCTGGGCTAAAAATATAAATTTGGGCGTCAAAGGACATATGAATGCTATTGAAAGCAATGAAACTGGATGAGATCACCAAGGAAATAAATACTGGTAGTGCACAAAAGAAGGGCAAGGACTAGGTCCTGGACACTCTAAGAAGTAAGAGAAAAAGAGTAGGAACCAGCAAAGGAGAATGAGAAAAAACAAGTAGCAGTAAAAAAGGACAACCAAAAAGTTGTATGTTATGGAAGCCTACTGACTATCAAGTAAGATGAGCACACTCAGAATTGACTATTGGATTTAGCAACATGGAAGTCATCTAGCCTTTGACTTGACAAGAGCATTTTTAGTAGAATGATGGCAGCAAAAATCTGACAGGAACAGTTTTGGAAAAAATCAGAAGAGGAACTGGATATGGAAGTATATAACTCTTTTGAGGAATTTCGTTTCAAAGGGAATAAAAAAATGTGAAAAGAACTGGCACGTGTTTTGTTTTTGTTTTTTTAAGATAGGAGAAATAACAATATGTTTGTATGTTTATGGAAAAATCCAGAAGAGAAGATATTAGGAAAATATCTATATATTTATGAAATAACCAAGAATTAAGATAAGAATAGAGTTGGAGAGCATGACGGTGAGGAATACTGTGTAACAGTCTGATGACATGAAATTAAAAGGTGTGGTTTTTAGGTAGGAGGGAGGAAGAATGATCTGAAAGAGGTAATGAGATATTGAAAAAAAAAGTCAATTCACTTCCACTCATTCAAGAGCTAAGGGAGAAAACACCTTTAGAAGCCTAAAGTTTATTTTAAGTATCATTAGAGGACAGCCAGTTTCCATTAAAACAACAAAGTGAAGAGAAGGAAAATTCAGAGACATCAAGATATAAGGGCTTTTGCTGCTAATGGATCATGAATTCCTAAGGGCCCAGAAGAAATGTTTCAGTAGCTGGGCAGAGATACAAAACAGAAGATGTGATATGCAGAACTTTATGGGATTGGATGGCAAGAGATGAGGAATGACCTGGGAATCTGGGGCTTCTTACAGTGGCAAGCATAAAATAATCTTATTTTATGGGCATAATAAGATTAATCCTGGTGGAAAGATAGTGGTGGCAAAGGTGTGAGAGTTGAGGGACCAAGTCATTTTGGGGGACCTACGACTCTCTCTTGGTACCTACTGGGGGGAGATTGTATTTGCTCCTAGTGCTGGAGCTTCCCCTTGTCCCCTGTTGATGGAATTTCTGGACGTGAGGCCCGTTCCATTCACTATTAACAATTTAAAAAATTCATGTGACCTTCACACACATGGATTTATGACCAAATAGCTTACAGTTTTAAAAATTTCCCTGCTCTAGGGGAAATGTAAGCTAATTTTTCATAGCAAAGTTTGGTTTTACTTACATCTGTGTTACAGGAGCGATATCGTTTCCTTTCCCCAAGGCAATATTTTCCACCTCCTGAAGGTCTGAAAACATATTTTGTTTAACATGTGAATATATCTGTCTACATAAAGAGTATATATATTGCTTGATGAAAACATATTAGCATTTATTTTAAGAAAATACAAAATTTGACATTTTACTAGTTATTAAAATAACAATCATGCTGGTGATTGTTAGCAATAATGATTATGGTTGCTGAACATAAAAACTAAGGCAGTTTGCTATGAATAACTTTACAAGACTCTAAGCTGTCATGATTTACATTCTTAAGAAAATGCAATTAAATAATTTTTTTTTCTAATTATCATAGTAAGCAGGTACTCAGTTCAACACAATAAGTTTAAAAATCACTTACTTATAATGAAAAACCACTTGAATCGTATTCAACAAAACACATAATCTGATACTATCTGTTCACCAAGTAGGAAATGGTAAATTTACTATTTTTTCCGGACTAGAAATGACAGAATACTAAGCAACTCTCTGGAAATAGCTTCAGTTCAAAGTAAATAATGCAGAAATGGATTTCTATCTCATTATATGAAGTTTGAAAAATTACATTTAAAAATCAGATGGCTTTGCATTATATACTGTATATTACACTCCAATTAATGAAAAAGTAAGATGTCCAATATTTGACTTACATAAATTAATTTTTTAAATATTTAACATTAAGGAAAGTCATATGCTATTATTTGGGCATGCTATTTTGAACAGAAAAAACTAACTTCTTTTAAAAGAAGTCCAAGTCATTCTCTTAAGGATCTGGGTATATTACTTATTATCATAGATGTTTATGGTTTTGGTTACTAATTTATAGTAGCCTGCAGTTGAGCTTAGGTAATTATTCTGTACTTGTTTGAAAAAGATCAAGTATAATTATAATTTTGGCTCACTGGTAGTCAATGGAATAATTAAAGTTACATTTTGAATATATTTTGAATGCCAGTGGATACTGATTCTAAAAAGGAAAAGGAATGGCCCAATTTAAATCAGCTTGGGAGAAATGGTTTGGTCAGACAAAAACAAGGGTGTGGGGATGATGGTAGCATGACTAGTTTATGAGTGGGTGACAGTGAGCTAGCTCTGTTATAGCAGAAAGATAATAATGGAAAGAAAGCTGGAGAATGGAAACACAGAATGAGTGTAAAGGGAAATAATTTCAAACTAAAAAGAGTAAAAGAGAAGAAAAGAGATATTTAGAGAGGGGAACCAAAGAGAGGGATCCTGAGTTAAAAAGAGAAAAATAAAAAATGAAAGCTGACTATCTTTTCCCCAGGAAGAGATAAAAAGCAGAAGGGATATTATAACGCCATGCTGCACCAAACACTAGTTGGGAAAGGAGGCCTGCAACCTGAGCTAGAGACAAAAAGGGGAGCACTTGACATGCAGCAGCTAAGGAGCAGTTTAGTCTCCGGGGGGGACAGGAAAGTCTAACTGGGGGACTGGTCCACCTGTAATGGGCACTGGTGGGAGACAGAAGCAATACAGCTACCAAAGAATACTGATGTGGCTGGCCTTTCACCAGGGGGACTCTGACCGGAGAAAAAGAGTGGTGGGAGAGGAACAGTCTGACCTGCATAAAATAGTCACGGGGAGAAAAGTGGTGGCAGCTCCGGAAGATGATTAATAGGGGCATGTGAATGGAAACTATTTTAACACATGGTCAGTATTCTTTTCATTGTGATTTGTGATGCGAATCAAGGCATTTCAACCCTTGAAGTGCTCTCATTGGTCCTTTTAATACTAATGTAGCAGTAATAATTTTATGTGACATGTGAAAAGACTTACGTTTTCTGGGAATAATGGTAATGTAGCTAAGAGCAGACCTGGATTCATCCATAATTCAGTAGTTTTTGGAGGGGGAAATCTATCTGATTATTACTAGATTAAAGGTCTAGCTATACCTGGGATAGATAAACAATGCTATTTTTTTTTCTTTTTCTTTTATTTTTAGTTGCACAGTAAGGGGGAAGGAAGAAAAAGAAAGTCTCTCTAACAAGGCTCTTCCACTCTCCTGTGCCTATTGCTTGTTCAGAAGACAAACACTTGGCTCACTAGTGAAACGTTTTTACAGATAACATGTGAAACCACAGCTTTGAATCATTTCCAACTGTGTCTTTTTGTTGGCTCCGGCTTACTTTAGCTACTTACGCTGGACTGTCACAGTGTCTTAGGGATGAGGAGACGCCTCCCCCGCAGGTCCTGCTGCACTCTCCCCATAGTGACCAGGGACCCCAGCCCCCATCTATGCTCTGGGGCCAAGTGCCAAAAGGAACACAATCTCCCTGATAACACCACTGCAAGATTTCACAGAAAACACAGAATTAGCTTTTAGGCAGATAGAGCTATCAGGTTAGAAATACATAAGGTCCGGCAATGACCAATTATAGGCATTAGCATTCTCCAATAGATAATAGACTGAGAGTTCTTTAACTGTGTTTAGACAATGGCGAAGGTGCATGTGATTTGCAAATTATCTTTGGCTAGGCAATGATTTATAAATCTCTAACCTGTACCAGGAGTCTAGAAAACTTGACTTTACTTCCTTTTTTTATTTCTCTTCCTCCAGAATCCTAGTATTTCTCATTAAAGAGAACTCAAGTCTTTTTTAGATATTTTAGCATTAGAATTTTTTTTCTTTATATTCCACTATTATTAGGCTCATGGAATGATAACGCAATATGGAAAGTTCCCCAGTAAGGAATTTTTATGATGGTAATTGCTTTTACTTTAAAAAAAAAAAAAAGGCTGGTTGAGGCTACAATAGTAAAGGAATGTGTTGTGGCATTTCATCTACACGAGTCCTGCAGACATAATAAAAGTAATGCCAAGATACTAGGGACAGGGTACAAAAAACTCTTACATACACTGACTAGCCATGTGTATAGTCCCTGCATGAACATGTGTACTGGAATTCTTTCAGCTTTACTCTGCAGTAAACCAACCACACATACTGCATGTAACTAGAGAGCCAGGAATAACTTATTGAGACACAGACATCACATAATCAGCTCATAACTCTAACATGATAAATCTTATTTGCAGAATATGGTAAAAAATGAAAGCCTTTTTTTTTTTAAACCAAGGATTTCTAGGTTTTTACTGGTGCATTTTTCTGAATTACCAAATTTTGACAAACCATACTGATGCTGTGAAAGTCATTTGTTTATATGAATAACAATAAGAAACATTCTTAGAGTTGAATAACTGGCAGCAACGTCATTGTTAAACAAAAATTCAACTTTATATTAAAATGCAAAGGTATTCTGATATATGATACTTAGAAAGTAATGAGTCTATTACACTATTTCCACATAGCCGGAATTCTTTCACTTTTCATCATTTTCATGGCTACCACATCAGACAAAATAGGCAAATGGAATAGCTTCTTACCTGGTCTCTAAGCCTCTACTTTTTTCTACCCTTAATCAGCCCATTCTCTAGTAAGCTTCAGAGAGTTCTTTTAAAAAACATATTATCACGTCATACCACTTTTTGCTTAAATGATTGCACTACTTTCCTACTTCCCTTAACTCTGGTCAGCGGTGGCCTTTGTGATCTGACCCCTAACTCCTTCTCCAGTCTTATTCTCCCTTGCAGATTGGTCCAGAACACTGGACTTCTTTCTTTTCCTCAATACACTAAGTTTGTTCCCTCTTTTGGGCATTTGCATTTGCTGGTCCTTCTGGGAATATTATTCTCCCAATTACTTATGTTGCTGTCTTCTCATCATTTGGTCTCAATCAAGTGTCCTTTCATCAGAAAGGTTTCTCCTTGACTACCCTTATTCTGAAGAGGGGTATCTCCCCACTCCTTCCCACCCTCCCACCTCCAACTCCAGGGTATAATAGAGATTACATCCTCCTGTTTTAGTTCCCTCTTAGCACTTACCTCTATTTTAAATTACCCTGTTTATTTTTTAAATTATTTCTTTAGTATTTATCTCTTCTCATTAGTATGTAAAACCAGGAGATGTACATATGGCTATTTATTTATTTTAAAAATTATGAACATAGCTCCCTACTCATTTTAGGTAATTCATCTATGCTTTGAAGGGGCAAATTCAGCAACAAATCTAAGCCCACAAATAATCAAGTTATTCCAGCAAAATATATCCTGAGAGGCAGGATAGTATGATGGTTGAGAACTGAGACCTGAATAAGAACTGAGATACTGAATAAGTAACTTGACCTATCTGCATCTGAGCTTCTTCATAAATAAAAAGGTAAATAATAATAGAGCCTATAGCATGTGAGATTAAATAAAGATAATGTGAAGAACATGGTAGAAAGTATCTGATACATAGAAAGAGTTCTGTAAATATTAGTAACCATTGGGCAAATTCTTTAATTTCTCTGGATCTCCATTTTCTTATCTGTAAAATGGGAATAATAACACCATCCCTCTAGTAGGGCACATAAAGTGCTTATAACAGTGGTTGTCTCATATTAGGTCTTCAATGAAATTAGCTAATACCATTGTTAAAATGGAATGCTCACATGTAGAAATAAGGCTTATGCAACTGCAGAGATCTAAATGTGGTGTGGACAGCACTCATAACCTTCCAAAGTCCTAGAGAGAGCTAAGTTCCTGCCAGCTCTGGATGATGATGATAATACGAATTCTTGGAAGCCACACAAATTTTTCAGAATGCAAAAAGAAATCATTAAGCACCCTTAGGAAGATTTGTTTCTCTCCACAGCGAATGGTGCACGTTTATCTCTTCCTATAGTTGATGGCTCTCAGCATTTTTAAATTTGTTGACAGAATTTTTAATACCCTTTATTATAAAAAATTATTTAAACTAAAAAGACAAAACCAAAAACTGTTTGACCCATTTCTCCCACCGCTGGCAACCACCAAATTGTCCTCTGTATCTATGAGCCTGTTTTTTTTTAAATACATATATATTTAATACATAGCATTATATAGCAATGACTATGTTATTTAAATTTAATTAAAATGTAAAATTCAGTTCCTCAGACCCACTAGCCACATTTCTAGGGCTCCATAGCCACATGTGCTAGTAACTACCATGGTGGACAGAGCAGATCTAGAACATTTCCATCATCACAGAATGTTCTATTAGAAATGCTGAATGTCTAGAACAGTGTCTAGCATGTAGTAGATATACTACAAAAATTTATTGAATGAATGAATACATTACTTAAATTATAGAATTCTGTGTTCTATTCTGGTTACTACATGTAAGGAAGGAACTAGAGATACTGGAGGGTAAACAAAAAGTCAAATTCATCTTTGTTTCCATAGTAGTTGCACTCAGTTAATTTTCAGTAGTTTTAACAACATGAAGGAATTTTTTCAGAGAAGTACTGGGTAATTAATTATCATTTGTCCTTCAAAAATTAGGCAAGAGAAAGTCAAAATTTGATTGGCTATAAAGGCAGAGCATTCCAACCCCAAGTCTAATAAATGTTGAAGTAGGACATTATGAAAGATAATTAGTTTTATGAAAATTACCATGAAGAAAAAAAATCATCTGTCCAAAATGGCGAACCAGAGGTAGCTGGCTGAACTGATAATACAGTATCAACCCTGGGAGCCGGGCTACTAATAACAACGTACACTTGAGAGGGAGAGAATATTTCAGCTGCCAGGTTACAGCTTACTTAATTGATTTTGAAAACCAACCATTTGTATAATGATATCCCAATTGTGTTAGGCCTCCACCTATACAAAAGTCACAATCTGGGCCAACTAATATTTATGCCTGCGCCTATTTTCCTTTGGGAATAACTGAGCAATGTATTACTGACCAGCAATTCCTGGTTTTATTCCCTGTGGTTTCAATTAATGGCAACTAACACTTTAAAAAATTCCAAATTTTAAAATTTACCTGTTTTTCAAGTTAGAAATTTAGCATTATTGATGCCAAATAACATTAAAATTTAATTTTACATTTATTTTATATAATCACAGAGTTGCAGCTAAAGCTCAGAGGGACTTTGGAATTCACGTGGTCTAAACGCTTCATTTTTTCACAGGAGGAAACCAGAACCTTAAGGAGGCTGACTTGCTCAAAGTCACTTTGGACAGAAAAAGGATTATTTGTCCAAAATACACAGAAATCAGTGGGGGAAAAAAACAATGTAGGTGTAGGGTTATATATTAGAAGTATATTAAAGTATACTGTACTATCTTTACTTCATAAAATACAAAATAACACTAGAGATAAAAACTCTTAGTTGCAAGTGTACAGCTACATGTTATTTCAGACCTCTGAGTATTCTTGTAATTTATAGATAAAAACTTTATTTTTTGCATTTTTCAGGGGACAGAGAAATGATGAAGGCCATAAGAATACTGAAAGATGTAGGTTCCAAAGTATTTTATAATATTGTTATATATGTTTCCTAGATGCCCACAAAATGCAGGACAGCGAGAGAAGTCACATAAATTCTCATTTTCTTTTTAAAACTTACTCTTAAGGTAAAGGACAAACACAATATTCAGTTTGTAGGATGCTCCTCAGTTCTCATCATCAATTAACATCTACACAGCAGTATTTCATAAGTGACTTACTAGAACCTTTTATTGCATAAATTTATGCTATTGAATTTTATCTGTTCCATGGAGTTATAACGTAATAGACAATTGTATCAGAAAGTTAAAAACAAATATTAATGGCTAAAAAATGAAAAATTCTCAAAAAGTAATGTATCAGTCATCTAGCAGTTGACAAAAGACTAGAGTTTAGCTTAATAACCAGTTAACAACTTATTTAATTAGTTAACAAGTTAATTCAGTCTGTGTGTAGTCTGTGTTACAAAACCTGAGCTCTTATTCTAGCAATATCCCTGGTCCAAAGCAAGTAATTTGTTTCTTCAGATTCCCTACCTAAAAGATAGGGACTAACTTTAGTTTTCAAATCCAATGTGGTTTGGATTAGACAGCTTCAGAAATTAGTTCTATGCAGACATGCCTTCAAAGAAATTATAAATCTACCAAAGGACTTGGTTGATATTGATCTCTGGCAAAATGGTCTCAAAGTTTTGTTTAGTTTTGCCCTGCCTTATACTTACAGTAAAGGATCTCTTTGGAAATCTTGCTATTTCTGTGCTCTAGCGCTGGTAAGTATCTTAACGTAGTACACTGATTTTAGAGAAGAAACTTATTTAACTTAATAGTAAATGCTTTAAGAAACCTCTAGGGAACTTCATGTGGAACAAGTTGAGCTAATTTTCTAGATTATTACATTAATCAGTATACACCAAGACTTTAATATAAGTCATTAGTAATATAATTAGATTATACCAAATAAAGCAACTTGAAGTAT